AGTCATTTATATACACTAGAAACAATAACGATCCTAATTTAGATCCTTGAGGAACCCGCAACTTATAAGTTTTTTTTTGTTTCGTTTGTTTCATAGGTTATGAATTGTTTTCTGTTAGTCAAGTAGTCTTTAAACCAAAGTAAGTTTAAGTTGTTTACTCCAAAAGTTTCTAATTTTTTTATAAGGATTTCATGATTGACAGTGTCAAATGCTTTTAATAAATAAATGAAAACTCCTAAGGTAAAATAATCTTCATCAAAAACATCCGATATATGGTTTACAAGTTAATTACCGCGTGATCCGTAGAATGGTTTTTTTTAAACCAAATTTGCTTGTTGTACAGAATATTATTTGATACTAAATGATTATAAAGCATTTTATTATAAGTATTGTACATAATGTGTTCTAGCAATTTAGAGAAACTAGGTAATAGAGAAATAGGTCTGTAGTTTGAAACATTTTTTTTTTTCACCAGACTTAAAAATCGGCGTGATTTTGGCTATTTTAAGTTTGTCTGGTACAATACCAGACGTTAATGAGAGATTAAAAATGTGAAACAATAAAGGTTTAATAATATCAAAGACTGATTTAACTACATTAACGCTAATTTTATCTATGCCTGCACTTTTGTTATTTTTCAGCGAGGAAAAAGCATTATGCAACTCAATTTAGTTCTGTCATAACATTATTTGCTGTTTTGAGGTAAGTTTCAAATTTTATGGTACTAGATAAAATTTTAGCCGCCAGATTTGGACCAATCCCAAGAAAAAAAATTTTTCAGCAATGGTTTCTTTATCATAAACAACTTTTTCATAAATTAACAGTTTTTGTGGCAAATTGTTTTTAATTGAAATATTTTTGCCAATTATTTCTTTTATTATATTCCAAGTTTTTTTTATATTTCCATTACTTTTTTCCAATAGCTTTTCATAATAAGATTTTCTTGAAAACTTTTTGGTTTTTTCAAACAAATTTTTCTAGTTTTTGTATATTATTTCATTATGATATGTTTTATGTCTTAGATATTTTTTATATAGTTTTTGTTTTTTCTTTGATGATTTGATTAAACCTTTTTTTCATTCACGGATTCAAAAAAGAATAAATAAACTTAGATTTTAAAAACATAGAATTTAAAAACTTAGAATTTAAATTTTGTTCGATTAAAGGGAATGTCTAACTAAAATTACTAATATTGTTTACTAAAAAACGCGAGGAATACTTCATAAGCATTATTTGCATTTCGCTACTGATTTGGCAACAACAAGTAACTGACAATCAATACAGAAACTGAAAGTAAAACTATATGAATTAAAAATATTATCTAATAATGTCTTAAACAGAAATAAATTAGTTTTTAGTTGCTCCTGAAAAATGTATTGATTGTCAGTTACGTGTTGTTGCCAAATCAGTAGCGATTTTGTGTTTCATACACTAAGTTCCAATCAACAGAATTTTTTAATAGATGGCGAAAATGTGCTATGGAGTTTTCATTGATTTGACGTTTTGTTTTTTAATGTTATGTTTTTAGTGGTTAGAAAGATAGGAAAATGATCACATACGTCGGCTTTAATTATACCTGTCCTTACGCAGCATTTGTGAAAATTGTTTGTTATTATCAGATAACTTTAAAATCGTATTTGAGGTTTTGCAGTAAAATATTAAGGTTTTCAAAGTTTTTACTCATACTCCGAATGTTCAGAGTTAAAATTGAGAAAGCATTATTGTTCTGAGAAAGAAAATGAGTAGATTCAAAAATTGAAAATACTCAGTTTCAAAGCTTTTTTCACGAAAAAAATTTTCGTTATCATTATCACTTAGCTTTAAAATCTTCGTAGTTAAATTTTGTAGAAAAGTTATCCTCCATTTTAAAAACATTAAATTTTTCAAAAAATTAAAAAAAAAAAAAAAAAATTTAATAAAATAAAGAAAGAACAAGGTAATATATATACATGAATAAAAAATATAACGAACCTGATTCTTTTTTCGATTGGAGCCCCAATCACGTATGATCAACCAATTGTACGATATAAAAGCATATTTCCCAGATGCTCGTTCAACTTTCATCTTTTCTTTTAAAGCTCTTCCCATTTGTGTGGTCTCCGGACAAAAGTCTTCATTTATGAAAAAAATTTTTTTTTTTTTTCAGATAAAAAGATTATTTAAGAATTTCTGTTTTATAATTGAAATCCAAGAGTTTTAGGACGATCGTTCTTGGCTTTTTTGCATCTTTCTTGCCAGTTCTGTGAGCTCGTTCTATTTTAACATTTCTACATCTAGATAATCTTCAAATATTTTTTTTACTTTCGATTCGGTCTCTTCCCAGCTTTTGTTTTCATTCTCTTTTACACCGTCTATTCTTAAGTTATTTCGCCTCGAACGATCTTCCATTTCCCTTAACTTGTTTTTCACATTAAGGAATTCCGAGTTTACTTTAGTTATTTCACTACCAGATGGACTTATCATTTCCTGATAACTAATTTCAGTTTTTGTTTTATCATCAATAAGCTGTTTATGAAAATTTAAGCTATATTTATTTAATTTCATTTCTTCAACATCTTTTATTATTGACTTAACTCGTTCGTTTATATTTTTTTCAACTTTATCTAATCGGTCATGAATTAATTTTACGCTTGAACTTACAATGGCTATAATGTTTTTTTCTTGTTTTTTTAAGATTTCTTCAAATTGTTTTTTGTAATCACTAAACATCTTGTTCAACATTTTTTTAATGTCATCTCGAGTAACTGCCATAATTAAATTTATATGATTGGTAAAACCTTGATTCAATTATTTCGATAGAATCTTATTACACAGTTACTAAAATGTATTAGTTTGTATTTTTTTTTTCTGCAGTTTTATTTTTAAACTATTATTTGAAAATATTTTTTTTGTTTTAATTTTAATTTTATTATTTATGGCATACTGAACGAGTTGGGTGTGTTGCAATATTGACGAGTTTGGAAAACCTTTTTTTTTTTATAAGGAAAACTTATTTTTAAATAAAGTAAAAAGAAAGCGATGCTCCAAATGTTTTTTTTGGGTCCAAAAAATACATAAAACGCAATATAGTATGCGCCTGCGCAAAACTTTACACTACTGCTGTGTAGCAGCATTGTAAAGTTTTAATGTTAAAACCTTACAATTAATTAGTAAAAATAAATTTAAATTTTTAAATTTATTTTTACTAATTAACCAATATTATTAGAATTTAAAAAAGTTGCTATAACAATTAAAGTAAAAACAGTTGAGTTACATGAATTGCTAACTTGAAAAAGGGGACATGTTATGTGCGTTTTTGCAGGACTTGTCCCCTTTTTCAAGTAAGCGATTCATACAATAGTTGCTCAATTGATACATTTACTTGTTGTTTTAGTCTAAAATAAAATGAAATAATTTCTCATTTGTTTATAATTTAACTATAATTTACGAAAAAAAAATTTATAGATTTTATGCATAAGGTACCTTATGCGCAACCAGTTTTTAAACTTTTTAAGTTTAAAAAAAAAATTATTATTACATAAATTCTTATTGCAGCTGATTTGTTTTGTTTCCTAAATGTTTTAAATATATTTTAAATGCTGACATCTTCAATAGAGTTTAGTTGAATAAATATTTTAAAATAAAACTTCTTTTTTTAAACTTTTATTTATTTATTCAAAGTATATTTATTTACTTTTACGATATTTCAAAGAAATTTAACACCCTCGTTTTCAAGTGTTTTAAAACTGTTCTATTGAACTGCCTATTCCTCTTTTTCTTTCCGAATTTCATAAAGAGTTCTCAAGAACTCTTTATGAAATTAGGAAATATATGAATATTAAAATATATACCTTTAACAAAGGGTCTGGATTAGTTAAAATCGATCAAAATAGCTCTCTAGAAAAATTGAAGAACACTTAGATATAGAATAGATACGAAAAAGTTAAATTACAACCCAACTTTTCAAATTCTTTACAAAGTTCAAACCACTCCAAGAAAGTTAAATAAAATAGGACGCTTTACCAAATAAGAATATAAAAATATCTACACTCTAAAAACACTCCGTTAAAAAAAGTAACGGATTGCACTTTTTTGTCAAATTAACGGATTAATTCGTTACCAAAAACCAGAAAATTAACGGAGTAAAATTAACTATTTACGGATTCTTTGAAATTTCGTTAATTCAACGGATTAAATATTTTAATCGGTCAAAAAAAAAATTTATTATATTTTTTTTATTTTGAAAATGATAAAGTTTTGAATGCATCTTTCTCACATTTACATTTACATCGTAGATAAAAGTTGGTTGCAGTAAGTGTAATATGCTATTTTTTAAAAAGTTTTACATTTAGTAGACAAAGCAAATGGATAAATATAATTTAAATTACGCTATGTTATTTCGAAGGTTATTTAACTTATTTTAAATTTTCTATACAAAGCTTTATACAGAAAATTTAACAATAAGATTTTTTTTTTTTTTTAATTTTTTAATTATTTATTTTATTAATTAAAAGCTATTAGTATTACTAAATAATATATAATAACATATATGGTAAGTTAATACATATAATATATGGTAAGTTACTACATGTCTAAATCTAGAAAATTATGCAAGAATATATGCAATCTATATAGTCTATATTATAGAAATAAAAGTTCAACTAATCCTTTACTAGTAGTAAAGGGTTAGTTGAACAATTGTTACTTAATGTATTATTTATAGTCTTGTTTAACTTTATATATTAGACATATGACATATAGTAACATACCATATTAGTTTAAATCTCTTGTAAATTTAAAAATGTTAACATCTTTGATAGGTATATTTATTTAGGTTAATTACAGCTAAGTTTACATGGCTAGTTAATATGCTTTTATAAATTGCAATTTTTATTAATTTCCAAATTAAACATGTGGCATCCAATATCATAAACTAAGATTATACTGGTGTGTTTATATTTTTTTAGAATTTTTTGTTTTAGGCACATGGCATTTGTTATCCCACTGTATGTTTTAACTAGTTGTAAAATTAAAAAATTTATATTGGAACTTCTTTTTCTTTTAACATTCATGTTTATTTATTTATACTATCTTAGAATTTGCTGCTTTAAAGGCATGGCATTTAGTGTCACATTGTAGGTTTAAATTGGTTGTAGAATTTATATTGTAACTTGCATATTTATTTAGTTGAGTTTAATCTAAGTTTATATCTGATGTGTTTGTATTATTTTAGAATTTACTGTTTTAGACACGTGGCATGTGGTATCCCACTGTAAGTTTGAATTAGTATATTTTATTTTATTTTGGTTCTATACTAGGTATGTTATTAAGTTTCCATATTTTCCTTATTTTATTTTATATTAACCTTTAAGGAGTTGACAGCATGGTGTCCTATTTAAAGTGCGAACATGTGTACAAGTAACAACAGTATTCAAAGCCAAAACCTATTTACCCCAACCAAACCAAAAACTAGCGACCAAAAACTATCTTGGCATTGGTTTATTTTAAACATCTATTATATATATGTGTGTTTTTTATATAAATGTACTAGCTTGAGTATAGTGTATTAAATTTTTTTTTATGTATTTTTATTGTAATTTAAAGTATATTGGATTAAATATTATAAATATTTGATTAGTTTTTAATTTTTGGTTAAAACGTTTTAATGTAGAATATCGAAATAAAATAATGCAATTAAATAAAAATGCAAACATTAACAAATATAAGGATTATTTGGTTATGAAGGCACAATTCTGGCCTCTCTAATTTCAGATTTTAGTGATTTTAACGAAATAATCACTAAAATAACTTATTAACACATTTATTTCATAGGAATAACAACCGCTGAAAATTTGCTGCCTAGTGTAATAACTCCTTAATTTTAACGGATTATTCGTTGCACTAACGAAATAAATCCGTAAATTCAACGGACTATTCCTAACGGACTTTAATTTGTTAAAATTTTAATTCGTTAACTTAACGGATTTCCCGTTAGTGCAATAGCGACAGATACAATTCGTTGTATATAACGGATTTTTTCTTAGAGTGTACTCAAGTGACGCTGTACCGTCAAGTTTATACGGAGTAATTATAGCCAATAACTATAGCCTAAAATAATACCCCATAAGCCTGAAAAGGCTACCAATGACGTTAATTGTAAGCACCATTGATACACCTACATATAGTATCTCTAAATATGTAGGCAATATGGTACAACTCATTATAAACTTAAATGAAGTACGTTTTAAAAGTTATCAACAATTTGTGGATACAGCAAAAATATTGGAAATGATAAGGTTTGAAAATGATAAGATTATGAGAAAAAGATAAGAATGACGTTCAGGTCTCCGTTGATGTTGTTAATTTGTACCCTTCGGTCCCGATTAAAAAAGCAACAATTATATTAGTTGAAAGATTAAGTAACGACCAAAGCTTTATATCTAAATTAGCTCATTGCTATTTTATATGAAAATAATATTCGCGAACTTAAAAACATCAGTCCGAATGGGTTAGCTCCTATGGTGGTAATTGCCTAGTTTTTTTTTACAATATTATGAAAGTAATGCTCTTTTAATGGTATTTAACAATAAGATCCATGTGAAATCATTTAAAAGATATGTTGATGATTTACATTTAAGGTTCCCGTTAAAAAACAACTTTTTATTCAATTCACAATAGAATCTGCCAACTTAACCAATTAATTAAACTATCTTGATGTTTCAGTTACCAACTATAAAACAGGTAGAAATAGTTTTAAAATACATCGCAAAAATGCAATCACAAACGTTTTAATTAAACCGAATTTATGCCGTGACCCTAAAATTATCAATGATGTTTTTATTAGTTTTTTCTATACAGTCCTAAGTATATGCACAATAATGAACAATGATGATAAACTGTCGTTTCTTATTGATGCATTTGTAGAAAAGGGCTATGAGAGGAAAAGTCTGGAAAAAAGAAGTATTAACTACAAAAATGATCTCACAAAAAACCAATAGTTCTAATACCTCCAAAAAAATCCCTATAATCAGCCCTAAGTTAAAAAGAGGTTTTTTAAAAAAGCAGGATACGCACCAGTTGTTTAAGTCTCTAAAAATCTCTAAAGACTACTTAAACCAAAAGTAATCTGACCATTTAGTTGCTATCCCGATGTTTACAAATTAGGGTGTTCTTGTGGCGAATATTATGTTGGTGAAGCAGGACTAAAGATATCGTCTCGGATTTGCCAGCATCAAACAAGTGTACAACATGATAAAGGGGAAGGTTCAGCTGCAGCTAAACATTCCAAAACTTTCCAAGAAAATTCTCACTGGAATGGTCGCAAAATTTTATAAAGAAAATTTATAGTTTTAATCGGAAAGTTAGGGAATCGTTGGAAATACAACAATATAATAGTACCTTTCGCGACCATAGTCTTTACCGGGATGATGACGATTAAATGACAACATCATTTTGGAAACCCATGTTTAAATTCTTACGTCACAAAAAAACTCTTTTAGAAAACCCTTAAAAAGAAGCTCATACAAAGAACATTGTTTCGTAAATTTAAACGGTTTTGTATAATATAGCAGGTTTTTTTATAACAGTTTTCAATATACTTGATAACGACGGTACCAATATTCCTTTGAATTATTGTAAAAATAAATAAACATATTTTTAACAAATAGAAAAAAATCCATAAAAAGAAGTTTTATTCGAAAAAGTATTGGATATATAATTTTGAATACAATTTACACTTGTCGCCAAACTTTAGGGTCCACTTATGGTTAGTTTATAAGAATCATCTTACCAAAAATATGATATCGAATGAATCCATGAGGCCCTTCAAATGAACTCGGTAAAGCTGAAGGTAGAACAAAATAGAAACGATAAGAAAATCTTCCAGCATCATTTGTAAACTTTGTAGAGTTTCCATGAATCCATGCCTGAACTGCAAATAAGTTTTCAGAACCTCCATAAACAGAAGTACTTTGTCCTACAGTTTGACTCCACTGACACCAACCTTTTCCTACAAGATTTAAAAAAATAAAATCAAGTCATAATATTATGTTTTCTTTTAATACTAAATAAAACAACAAGAAGAAGCTCTTTTATTTTATTTGGTAGTTGTTTAGAAAAGTAATAATAGCAATAATAACAATAATAATATTAATAATAATAATAATAATAATAATAATAATAATAATAATAATAATAATAATAAAACAATAATGACGACTCATCATCAATATTATTTATTATGCATAAACGTAGGACTATGCATAATAAATATGAACAACGTAGGGCTCAATCGACAACATAAACGTAGGGCTCTATGGAAAAAACCAATAATGGCATCATTGATAACTTTAGGGTCATGGCAAGAATTTGGTTTAATTTAAACGTTTTTTGGTTGCATTTTTGCTTGGATGTATTTTAAAACTTTATCTACCTGTTTTATAGTTGGTAACTGAAACATCAAGATAGAATTGAACAGATTCTATTGTGAATTGAACAGATTCTATTGTGAACTGAACAGATTATATTGTGAATTGAACAGATTCTATTGTGAATTGAACAGATTCTATTGTGAATTGAACAGATTCTATTGTGAATTGAACAGATTCTATTGTGAATAGAACAGATTCTATTGTGAATTGAACAGATTCTATTTTTTTTAAGTAGATCTAAAAAAAGTTTGTGCATTTTCTTCTACCTGGAACTTTAAATGTAAATCATCAACATATCTTTTAAATGATTTCACACTGATCTTATTGTTAAATACCATTAAAAAAGCATAACTTTCATAATATTGTAAAAAAAACTCGGCAACTACCACCATAAGAGCTAATCCAATTGATCTGGAGTTTTTGAGTTCACGAATATCATTTTCTTGAATATCATAAAAGGATAGTAAAAAAGATAAAAATTTGCTGTTGCTTAAAAACACAGAAAACATTGTGTGCATGAGTATGCAGATATAAAAAAGGTATGAAATAACCAGTATTACTGTAATTGATTTTTTTGATTTTTTGTGGATTGTTTGAACTCTTTAATTATTAGAGGAAAAACTAGTAGGCGGCTATGTTTTTAGAGATCAGCTTATTTGTTGGGGAGTTGTTAAAAAATCTTCTTTCATTTTTCACCTGCATGCAAGTGGTTACAGAGTAACTCTCATTTTGTTGCAATTGTCTTTTAATTAGGGCCGACTTACTAAGCAAAAAATATGTCAACCACAATACTGCTGAATCACAACACTCAGTTGCTTCAGGAGTATTTAGAACACAACGCACTCAAATAAATAGGGTTGTACGAAATAGACAGGGTTGCCAATGCTTATTTTTTCAAATTAGTCTACTATTTTGATTCGTTAAAAAAGGAACAAAAAACCAAAAATCAAATCTACTCTTATGTACTTCTATAATTATGTACTTCTTAATAAATAATTATTATAACTATGTACTAAGTTAAAGGAATCTCAAAAAAATACCATCAAAGTTTCGTCACTTTAACCTAAAAACTGTTAAACCTACGTTACATTACCTTTTAATTTTTTGTTAGATAAAAATACAAAATTTAATTTTTACCTTGTACATTTATCCTAATTCCTTTCATTTCCATTGGTTCGCTTAACGCCATGACAACAGAACCATATACCTTTTGACCAGGATGAAATTGCGTACAATTATTGTCAAAGACAATCGCAAATTTACTCAACTTGCCCATTTATACAGCTAAAAATTATTAGCAATACATTTCATTCAACAAAACATATTAGTGTTTTTTTATAAATTTTTATTAATTCTTGTTTTAGATACTTTAATGCTATTGCAATTTTAATATTATCTGTTTTTCGCTTTGTTTTAAAAATTTCATCACATACCTAATGCATAACAAATATATTTTATATTTGAATAGTAGATATAATTTACTTTTTTTTCTATACATAATATAAAGGCTATTTTAGTCTGATATTATTACGTATCGTACATTTTTAAATAAAATTGAAATTGAAAGGATTTTTTGTACGAAGTTTGTTTAATATAATATAAAACAACACAATCAGTAAAATAAAACTATAAAAGTTATACAAATTTAGACAAAAATGTTTAACTTATCAAGGTTACTTATTTAAAAAATTTAGACAACTAACTTTAAAATGATCGTTTTAAGTGTCAAAAATCTTTTATAACTTTTATAACCTAAACCTTAAATAGCAAATATATATATATATATATATATATATATATATATATATATATATATATATATATATATATATATATATATATATATACATACATATTTATATATATATATATATATACATACATATTTATATATATATTTATATATATATATATATATATATATATATATATATATATATATATATATATATATATATATATATATATATATTTCTAACAGCTAAATGAATTTCTAATAGCTAACTAGCTTAAATAGCAAATATATATATATATATATATATATATATATATATATATATATATATATATATATATATATAGATTATTGATAATTTTTTTGCTCAACAGTGCTCAATACAAAAGTAGAACAAATATATGTTAGAACAAAAATAGCATAAAAAATACAAGTTTGATACATAACTCAGAGTTTCACGCTTTATGCAATCATTAGAGGTTACTGTAATTGTCTGATGAATGCAAAAAGGGTGAAACTCCGAGTTTTGTTTCAAATTTAAATGTAGTTTTCTTATTGTTATTGTTATTCTAGCAAATATCTATGTATATATATATATATATATATATATATATATATATATATATATATATATATATATATATATATATATATATATATATATATATATATATATATATATATATATATATATATATATATATATATATATATATATATATATATATATATTATTAAAGCATAGAGCCTTATGAAAACATTGTATAAGAAATCTATAATAATGTTTTAAACATATATATATATATATATATATATATATATATATATATATATATATATATATATATATATATATATATATATATGTATATATATATATATATATATATATATATATATATATATATATATATATATATATATATATATATATATATATATATATATATATATATATATATATATATATACAGTTGCGTAGAAAGGTTTTTAAATGTTTGAAATAACTAACTCATAAACAACAAGAATATTCCAAATATTTTTACGTTCATATGTATGATGAAAAGATTCTTTTAAAAAAAAAGTATTGTGATAGGAGAATGGGAACAAGAAACCCTAAATTCTTAGCCCCCCTGCTAAGGGGGGCTAAGAATTTAGGCTAAGATTTTAATGTGTTAGCAACAAGTTCATGAAAATTTTTTTGTACTATTTGTGACCCCCTTAAATTAAGGGGTTTTTTTTATATAAATTAAAAAGAAGTTTTAAATATAAAACATTTAATAAATCTAACACGATTCTTTAAAAAAAATTATAATAAATACTGGCCTTTCAATTTTTAGATGGTTCACTTTTCCCCACTTTTCTTTAATTCAAATGAAAATAATACCTCTTTAATAAAGAAATAAAATGATTTTTAAAACTTTTATTCAACTAAAAACTGAATGGTGTCTGATTCGCTTTTTTTTGTGTAGTTTTTTGGTTTCTAGTATATCTAGCACAGTCAGATTTATAAACAATAACTCTGTTATAAAAACATTTCGATTGATTCGTAGTACGTTTTGGTTTCGTAAAGGTGGTTTGGCTGATTTTTAACGAATAATACTTTATAAAGGTATAACATCAAGTTTTGTTTAATTAAAAAAAAAAGGAATTAGTTGGACAGCGCTAAGATATAATAAATAATGCTTTCATTATCGAATAAAAACAGTTTTAGCACAAAAAACTATTTTTCGATTTTAAATAAAATATGCTATTAAATGAAGTTGTTTGTGTTTATATAGTTTAACTTTATTTTATTTTGTACAATACTATGCACTATGTTTTACGAAGAAAACATATATTACATTTTTTTATATAATATATTTGTGTATATTACATATTAGTGATATTATATCACTAATATGTAATATACACAAATATATTATAAAAAAAAACTTGTATATATCACTGATGTAAACAAGTTTTTTTTATTTAAGAAAGTTAATTTATGAATAATTTTTTGTAACAGTTTTATTACAAACATTTTTTCGCACTTACATTTCAATCGTTATTTATAAAAGTATCGTATAAGCACCTATTTATAATATTATAATCGTTATTTATAATAGTATCGTATAAGCATCAATTCTTAACTTGCACCTACTGTATGGAAGAAGGTTTAAAGCATAACTGTATAGAAGACAGCTGTTGGGCTTTTATTTTCAAGACATTTCTTATACAAGCATAGAATAAGATTTTGATCACGTTTTAAAAACTTTTTGATTATCACGTTTTAAAAACTTTTTGATCTAATCTAGCATTAATTTTGCTTAATACAACATTTTATTCAATTAAAAAATAAATAAAATATTGTTTTGATGTAATAGCAATTTTAAAAAGCGAGTTTGGTGGAAGTTTTAAAATTACGTTCTCAAACTTTGCGATAAGTTTTAGTAAATTCAAGTTTTGTTGTTATTAATGCGAATATTGGTTATATAATTTATATACATTTTAAATATAATATAATGCTGTTTAAAAAAAATTTTAGTTTTTATCACAACATAAAATAGCAAAGCTTTTAGTTTCTAAATCAATTTAGTTCACTTTACCTCTTATTTTTGTCTATTGGGGGTAAAGTGAACTAGTCTTTTTATTATGTTTTAAAAAAATTCCATGGTTATAATAGAACTCTATGAGTAAGAAGTTTTATCACGTGACATTTTATTGCGGAAAAAAATACTTTGTTTTTGAAAAATCTTCGTCCAAAAAACGCAAGAAATGATTTTATGTTGGTGTTGAAGAATAAAAACCCACCCATGAAAATTAATGGTATATACGTATATATAGATGTTATTTTATTTAAAAAAGGAATAATTTGTTTTGGAACGACGATTTGCTTTAGAATTGATAAAGTTATTTATTTCTAAATGTTTCAGTTTACCTAAATACAAATAAATTAAGATAATTCTTTCGTTCCCACATAAAAATAGATTCTGCAACTATTTATTTATTATGTCAATAAGGGTGAAATGCAAGAAGCGAACTTGAGTCAAGCTCGACTTGAACTTTAGATTGCAACCGAGATTGCAACCGCAAAGCGAGAGAGTATGGGTTTTCCCCTCAAAAAATACTCTGCCGCGATTGGTTACAAATTAAAGTTCAAGTCGAACTTGATTCAAGTTTGCTTCTTGCATTCCACCCTAAGTTTTGGTATTTTTTTTTTGTAGTTTAATAGGGTGGGTTTTTTGTTTTCTAATTGGAGATTCTTTAAATTTCCCCCGTCTTTAAATATTTTTGAGCGCAATCAAAATTGAATAAGGTAAATTTGCCGTTTTTCTGAAACAAGTAGAGTAATCTAAGGATTTTTTCACACATTTTCACACATGAATTTTATTTTTTATATAGGGGAAGTGGAGGCATAACCGCCCCCGTACAGTTTGGAATAATGTTAGATGAAGATAAAAACGAAATGTGTGTTTTTTTTTTTACTAGTTTATTTTAATAACCTCATCATTAAGCTTTAAATTGATGCAATTAAGAAAAAAATTGAACGGTTTTTGAAAATGTTATTTCACAAAAAGTACAATTAGTGAAAAAAACGGTTTTGCCCCCATTGTGAGGCACAACCGCACCCTCACAAAATTCGTTGGGGGTACACCTTTCATGGTACATTTTCTTTAAAATTTTCACAGCTCAGATTATTTGATGATTTTGTTGCATGTTTGCATAATTTGCAGGCGTTCTTTATATTTACATTTTGAGTTCTGCTCCAGAAGAGAGTTCTGTCCCAGAAGAGAGTTTTTAGAAAGAATTCAGTTTCATAGCTTGCTTAATAGATTATGCTGATATCAAAAATGGTTTTCACTTGATGAAATAATGCTGATAACACATGTCTTTAATACTAAAATCAAATATTGCTTAATTCTCAAAAAAAAAGTCTGGAAAAATATATTGTAAATATAAAATTTTTATCAAAATAAACAATATTATGCACAATTTCACAGAAACGTAACAAGCACACTTTTTGACATATGCAAAATGAAGGAAACTGTTTTACTAACGCGTGGTATATTTTTTGCCATATTAGATAATATTTTTCTAAGGGAAATGTTAAAAAACGGTTGTGCCTCCTTATGCGGTTATGCCCCTACTTCCCCTACCTTAGATTTTATTACAAGTTTTTACTAAAGTATTATAAAGTGGGTTTATTTTTATGTTGTTGATGTTGTCGTTGCTAACCAATTAGTGATTTAATTATAACAGTTAATCAGTAAGTCTTATGCGCGTATCCTTCGATTTACGGCGCCGATCTTGTAATGAAAAACTTCGACCATTTTAGTGAAGCGTGCAAGGCGTATGTGTTGTAAGAATGTATTTTCTTGTGTTATTCTTTAGAACTTCATATCAACATATATATTTTTTAAAAAGTAGAATAGTTAAACACTATTTTAGTGTTGTTCTTTTTTATAATTACCGCCGCTATCGTTGAATATATGGTTCTTAAAAACTTCGTTTTTGATCAGATAAACAATTCTTATTAAAGGAATGTTGATAACTTTTTTAAATCTATTGGGCCCAGTGAAAAAACATATTTTCTAAGTGCATGCCAAATTTCATTAAAAAGTATTAGGTAGCAGACACCTAACTTTTTGCAGCATATAGGTACTTATGTGCTGTAAGAATGTGTTATTTTATAGAGTTTTAAACCAAATTATATATTTTTTAAAAATTTGAAAAGTAAGACATTACTTTTGTGGTGCTTTTTTTAGTAGTTACAACCGCTATCATTAAATTAACTGTTTCTGAATAAATTCGTTGTTGATCAGATGTAAAATTTATATAAAATGAATGTTGATAACTTTTTTAAATCTATTTTTTCCTGTGCAGAAACTTATTTTCTAAGTGCATGCCAAATTTCATTAAAAAATATTATGTAGCAGACACCTTATTGTTTGTTGCAGCACAGGTACCTAAGTTTAACTTTTTATAAAGAGAATAAAGGTAGAATAAAGGTAGGCAGGGGGGGGGTCTAGCAACGATCTTTTTAAAAGATCGTTGTTAACCCCCTCCCCCTATATGTATAATTATATAATAATATATAATAACAATAGTAGTATATATTTATATATGAATATATATGTATATATATATATATATACATATATACATAAATATATATATATATATATATATATATATATATATAATATACATATATATATACATATATATACATATATATATATATATATATATATATATATATATATATATATATATATATATATATATATATATATATATATATATATATATATATATATACATATATATATACATATATATATATATATATATATATATATATATATATATATATATATATATATATATATATATATATATATATATATATATATATATATATATATATATATATACATATATATATGTATATATATATATATATACTATATATATATATATATATATATATATATATATATATATATATATATATATATATATATATATATATATATATATATATATTTAAGTGTCTATAATAGATTTGAAAACGATATATAATGATAAGAACTATATAGTAATATTTTATAGTTATTTTTGGTACTTATTATAAAATAATTTTTAAACGTAATTTAAAAAAAAAATTTATTATAATAAAAAGTATATGCAAGTTGGTTATGATAAATGAGTGAGATATCACTCACATAATCATAGACTATCATAATACAATATCATTGGTATCATAACATAATTAATAGATTATTGATGATAAATCACCAGATGATAAATATATGGATATAAAGCTTATAATTATTATAATGATAAATTATTCTGTCAACCCCAAGTTCAAGTAAAACTGTTTTGTCTTTCAGTTGCCTCATCTCCTAAACATAACATAAACAAAACGGAGATTAAGTGTTTTTGCAACTGAAATTGCTACCAAAAAACGAAAGCATAAAAAGGATGTAAAGGTGTTGAAAGAAAAAATTATAACAAGGCCAAGATTTAAACATCTCAATGAGACTATTGTTCGCAAAAAAAAGACATTTTGAAGTTTGCGGAATAAATTAAAAGTCCAAGGTCTAAACTTACAGCTGAATAAGCTTCAAATTTTAAATTTTTGTTTGAAAAAAGAGCTGCAATTCACCCAAATAAAGCTGTCTACTGAAGAAGTTATCTTACGTCAACAACATGCTGACAAGAATGTAAAAATTAGTGTCCTGTAAAATGATATGCTTAATTTACAGGAAAGGATAGAGTAAATGCAGCAGTACAAAAGTACAAAAGCACCAGATGTAAAAAAGTCTGCTCATTGCAAAACTGTGGAGCAAATGTTGCGCAAGCTGGGTATTATTATAGAACTCCAGGCTGCTGAGATTCTCAACAAAAAATTTGACTCTTGGTTTTGATGTCACAACCCAAGAGGGTGTTCTTGTCAATGTTGTGCACTTAACAGATGAATCTTTATGCATGGTTGTAGCCATTGACCAGCTTGCTGGTGGTACATTTTATGACTATATGAGTCATATTACAAAGTCTGTGGATA